AAATAATAAAATTCTATTCTATTCTATTCTATTCTATTTAGATATTCCTTGGGATAAAAAAAAATACCTAGGAAAGCTGAAACTATGGAAAATACCCTGGGGAACCGGAGGTAGTAAAGGAGACAAGATTGTGTAATTAGAGATAGCTACTATTGAAGTCATTATGAAAAGGAAATCTCCTCATGGAAGATTTCAAATTCCCATATCAGACTTCAACAATGTAAATGGATCGATTAACCCCAAAAGACAAAAGGATTCTGGGTCAAAGAGTGTGGCTGTTTCAGGCAAAATAGAAAGAAGATATTGGAGTGTTTTGCATGAGTGGGAAAAATGAGACCAGATTTTATATAATGATTCCGCTTGTGGATGTAACGCATGTAATTTATCCTGTTTTCTCAACAAACCCGGCGGTATCCATTTCTCATAATTTCTCATATAAAATGGGATGACAGAGTTTTCTCTTCTCCCCACAGCTCCATAGACAAAAGGGATCCATAGATAGTTCTGAGATTGTATTTGCTATCCTATCAATAGTAAAGTATGCTTTCTTGCATACGAATTAGAGCAATATTTATTGCTTTAGGTGCCTATGCAGAAAATAAAATATTGGAGATTTGTGAATTATGCTTAGGTCAGTGTGTGATAAAATAGCTCACATTGATTAGACAATTCAGAATCACAGTTTTAGCAAAATCTAAAATACAGGTCCAACCTCAGGTGCTGATTGTTCAAGTTCCTATACTTTAGTGTATTGTTAGTGAACTTTTTTGGCACCAAGTGCTGAAATGGGAGTGTGTGCACATGTGTGCCGGAAACCATAACAGCAGCCACCCAGTGCGCATGTGCGTGCCAGGAAGATGATCTTCCAGTTTACGACACATGTATGCGCATCACCAGCTGGTCTTTGCGTGCGCATGCATGCCAAAAAATCAGAAGACCAAGTGGCCAGTGCACATGCATGAACTGGAAACTGAAAGATCATCTTCCCGGTGCACGCGTGCACACCAAGCAGCTCCTATTCCGGTTTCTGGCCTCCTGCACCCATGAAGACCAGCTG